TTTACACCAATTGAGATATTAAATTGATCTCTCCAAACCCTCTTAGAGTCAGTTTGATTTCTGAGGTCATTACAAAGCACCTTTCAACTAGCTTTTGTGTACAGTTTCTTGAAGTTGGAAATAACCTCCTGTCCAGGGCTGCAGGAAGGAGGTGGTCTTAGGAGGCAAAAACTTCACCTAATTAAGCCATGTCCCCATAAAGACGCTCTGGCCACGCTGTAGGATGACCAGTGGCATTGTCTAACACCAGAGGCACTTAAGATCTAATTCTTTTTCAGTTAGGTAATATTCACATTGGGGGCAAATGCTGGTGTAACCAGTTAAAGAAAAATTCCCTATTGACCCATGCCTTACTGTTTGCCCTCCACAGCAGCACTACAAATTATCCTTGAGTGACTTTCTTTTTGCCTGAACGCTCTGGAGTTTTCAGAGTGATACACAATAAAGGCTTCACTGCAATCCCAGTAGCATAGGCACCATCCAACAAAGTAAGCCTGTCTTTCCATAGGCTTATGTCCTGGGAGTGCCTTTTCCCCTGAGTAATGTAGGTGTCCAGCTTGCATTTACTTTCCAGAACAGGCCCTTTTTTCATCACATTAAACCACTTGTTCAGGTTACAGTCCCTTCGTTCTATGTTACTCCTTGAATCCTGCACAGTATTTTTCAGCCTCTTGTGGTCCTAACTGGCAGCCCCTCACCATGCCTTATCACGACATGGATCACTACGCTTCTTAAATCTCTCAAACCAACCTTTGCTGCCTAAATTCACTCACATCATCACTAGATCAGGCATTTTTTTTTAATTTAAATCCTCATTCAACTTCCTAGCTTTTTTCACAAATGATCGCTTGATAGACGCTATCTCCTGCTAACTTTTTTCATTTTTCCCCCCCAATAAAAGTCTCTCACATCTTCCCCTCAATTGGATCTTTGTTTCGAAAAAACAGTTTAACCTTTGGCAAAAACACTTCCTTTTTGTCTTTCTGGTGCCCCAATAGTAGCGTGGTTATTGGGGTTTCTTGTCAGCTTGACTAGGCGGGTATACGCCTCCATTTCATACTTATCAAAATTTCTCTTTTTTTCATTCTTAGTAATTCTTACCTTGAGGTGTAGGGTTTGGCACTAAAGCTTTCTTGGGGCCCATGGTCACTTTTTTCCCGAAACAGCACCGAAATAAATGTAATAAAACGAAATTTCCCAGTGTATCTTGGAGTTACCGCGGAGGCTGGGTGGTAAACAAGGGAGGACGGCACAGTGGGCGGCTGAGGGGCCCCATTGGACCGTCCGGCGAAAAAAACGGTATCGGGTTTTTAATCGGGATGCGCGGGAAAAATTTTTTCGAAAAAGTAACGTTATGCGGAAAAACGCTATGTATCCAAGTTTGCGGGGGGCCATGTATATATAATATAATAACACAACAGGGGACCCCCGGTTAACATATTTTTTTCACTCCAGAAGTATTTCAGGTGCCAGTACTGCCAAATTTGTTCCCCTAAGGGAAAATTTTAAGTAGATTATCCCCTTTCAGACCCCCAAACTACAGTACAAACGCATTTAATAATACACTTACATAATTGGTCCATTCGGGGTGATCGTTATGCGGGGGTCCACTGTGTATATATATACAGTGGACCCCCGCTTAACGATCACCTCCAAAATGCGCCCCAATTATGTAAGTGTATTTATGTAAGTGCGTTTGTAGTGTATGTTTGGGGGTCTGAAATGGACTAATCTACTTCACAATATTCCTTATGGGAAAAAATTCGGTCAGTACTGCCCCTGAACATACTACTGGAATGAAAAAAGTTCGTTAACCGGGGTCCACTGTATATTATATTTATATATATATATTAAAATATATATATTATATAATATTATATATTTTAATATATATATATATATAAAATATATATATATAATATACGGTGGCCCCTCAATAATCGTCGGGCTCGACAGTCGTCCTTTTCGGAAATTGTCGCGTTATTTTCGTCCAAACATTGGCTCGCAAATGGTCAGTTGACTCGCTAATCGTCATTTGTCCTGGACACGTACTCACAGCTCTGAGCCGCCTTGGCTTCCCTTCCCAGCCAGTGTGCCATTGTTTACCAGTGAGCGATGGTCCCCTCACTTGTTCATACGAAATATTTCATAATATTCCATTCATTTTAATGCTTGCAAGTGCTAAATAAGCTACCATGGCTCCAAAGAAAACTCCTAATGCCAAGCCTTTAGTAAAGATGGTGAGAAATACGATTGAATTTAAGAAAAACATCATTGAACAATATGAAAGTGGCATACGTGTGGCCGAACTGGCCAGGATGTATAAAAAACCCCCATACAACCATACTTCCATCGTGGCAAAAAAAAAGGAAATCAAGGAGCTGTTGTTCCCTTGGAGAAAATTGTGGCCAGATTGTGTCCACGAGAGGGATTTTGAAGGGTTTGTGGCTGACCCTGATGAGCCTATGTCAGATGTGAAATCTATTGTGGCATTGGGGAGTTCCATGGGGTTGGATGTGAGTTTGGAGGATGTGGAAGAGTTTGTGGAGGACCACAACAAAGATCTAACCACTGAGGAGCTGCAGGAGCTTCAGCAGGAACAGCAACAGATTGCAGCTCAGAATCTTGCTGCAGAGGGGGAGGGAAGAGAGATGGAAGAAGGTGCCTTCTTCAGAAATTAAGGAGATTTTTGAAATGTGGGGTAAGATGGAAAGATTTATGGAGAAACATCACCCTGAGAAGTATGTTGCAAGCCATATCGGCAACTTGTACAGTGACAGAGTCTTGGCCCATTTTAGGGAAGTTTTAAAGAAACGCCAGAAACAGAGCTCTCTGGACACTTTTTTTTTGTGAGACAGGACTCCAGTGACTCTCAAGCTGGTCCTAGTGGCATTAAGAAACAGAGAAGTATGTAACCCCAGAAAAGGACTTGGTACCTGAGGTGTTCATGGAAGGGGATTCCCCTTCCAAACAGTATCCAATCCAATCTCTCTCCTCCTCCAGTCTTCCATACACTAAGAAGAATCGCCAATAAAGGTAAGTGTTATGCTGCTAATGTTTCATTCATCATGTCCCATTGTATAGTTTATACTACATCTATATTTCATGTGAAAAAATTTTTTGTTTTAATACTTCTGGGTGTCAGGAATGCATTAATTGTATTTACATTATTTCTTATGGGGAAAATTAATTCGAAAATCATCTATTTTGATAATCATCACACTTCCAGGAACGGATTAACGACAATAAATGAGGGACCCCTGTATATATATGTATATATCATATCTAAGTAGTAGGTTGGTAGACAGCAACCACGAAACGAAAACCTGTAATTGTTTTACATGATGGTAGGATTGCTGGTGTCTTTTTTCTGTCTCATAAACATGCAAGATTTCAGGTACGTCTTGCTACTTCTTCTTACACATAAGTCACTCACACTACACATACATGTACAAGCATATGTATATATACACACCCCTTTGGGTTTTCTTCTATTTTCTTACTAGTTCTTGTTCTTCTTTATTTCCAGTTATCTCCATGGGGATGTGGAACAGAATTCTTCCTCCGTAAGCCATGCGTGTTGTAAGAGGCAACTAAAATGCTGGGAGCAAGGAGCTAATAACCCCTTCTCATGTATGAATTACTAAATTTAAAGAGAGAAACTTTCGTTTTTCTTTTTGGGCCACCCTGCCTCGGTAGGATAAGGCAGGTTAGCTGAAAGAAAGAAGATATATATTTTATATACATATATATAACTGTGTCCATGGGTTCAGTTTCCATGGTTTCAGTTATCCAGGGGTAACCATGGCTTAAAAATAACCCTTAATAATGACATCAAAGCACAAAAGCAGTGATAGTGGCAGTTCTTCAAAGACTCAGAGAATCCATGAAGTGTCTCATCAGTGAAAAAGTGATAATTCTCCAATTACAGTGGACCCCCACCTTACGATATTAATCCGTTCCTGAGAGCTCATCGTAAGCCGAAATTATCGTTAGCCAAATTAATTTTCCCCATAATAAATAATGGAAATCAAATTAATCCGTTCCTGACACCCCAAAGAATGAAAAAAAAAAATTTTCCACATGAAATATTAATTTTAATACAAACAAACTGAAGAAGACATGCACAATTACTACTCTACTAATTATAGAATACATGACACTTACCTTTATTGAAGATCTGGTGATGACTGATGGGACAGGAGGAGAGAGTGTGGAAGTTATTGTTTAGAAGGGGAATCCCCTTCCATTAGGATTTGAGGTAGCAAGTCCTTTTCTGGGGTTACTTCCCTTCTTCTTTTAATACCACTAGGACCAGCTTGAGAGTCACTGGACCTCTGTCGCACAACAAATCTCTGACCGCGAGTTCAAATCCCACCTGTGGTATGGTCTGTCCATAGAGCTCTGTACCTCCCGTTCCTTTAAGATTTTCCTAAAATGAGCCATAACATTGTCATTGTACAGGTTGCCAACACGGCATGCAGTAGCTGTGTCAGGGTGATTTTCATCCGTAAAGGTTTGCAGTTCAACCCACTTTGCACACATTTCCTTAATCTCTTTTTTCAATTCCATATTAATTCTCGCCCTTTTTACCACAGAGATGGCACTAGTAGCTTTCTTGGGGTCCATGGTGACTTATTTTGCAGTTACAAGCACTAAAAACACTGGGATAATGTGAAATGTACCGAATGTATGCGTAGATGCGACCACACTGGCTGGCTTGTAAACACTGGTGCTGAGGCCACACGTGGGACGCGTCCCGGATGAATCACGTAAGGCAAGTTTTTTATTGTGAGGCGAGGCAAAATTTTTGCGTTCAAATGCTTCGTATGGCAGATTTAACATAACGCAATGCATTCGTAAGGCAGGGGTCCACTGTACTGTGTGTAATTTGGCAATTAAACTTCATTGCAGGTATGTATGTGAATGAAAAATGACTTATATATAGGGTATAAGGACTGCTGAGGGCTATGGTACATTAAGAATCTCATGGGGATAACCTGAACTCATTATCCAGGCTGTTGGATGTTCCATTCACTGCACTGTGTGTCATTCTTGGTAGATGATGGTAACTCCTATGATGAACAGCAATCTGTAATAAAAAATTAACAAATATATGTGATTGCTGTAATGTATAAATAACTAAATACACAACAGTCTGACTTTTTTTTTTGGGTGGGTCGGTTATTATTAATACAATCAAAACTAAGTGCTAAACCCACAAGGGTCATACAACTTTTTGGGGGTTATCCTAGGTAATTTGCACTATGTATGATATTGTACTTATGTGTACCTTTGCCTAACTACATTTACTTATTAACTCACTAAAGGGGCCATGAAAGAGCTGTTGACAAAATTTACTGATGGGCAGATAAAAGAATCAGAAAAGGTGCTTACTGGTTGCTTGAATTCAACCCCAGCAAATAAAATATTATGAAAACTGGGGAAGAGGCAAGAAGACCAGACATGAAGTACAGACACAGGGGATAAAGGCTGCAGCTCTCTTTCAAATAGAAAGACCATTAAATCTGGTATTAATTTATCCAGTGAATGAACAATTCTGGATTTAATGGACTTCGTCCATTAAATCTGATGAGTGGAACAAACTCCTGAGTACTGTTATAAAGGCTAAAACATTGTGTAGTTTTAAAAATAGGTTAGATAAGTACAGTGGACCCTCGACTAACGCTATTAATCCGTTCCTGAGAGCTCATCGTTAGTCAAAATAATCGTTAGTCAAGTTAATTTTCCCCATAAGAAATAATGGAAATCAAATTAATCCGTGCAAGACACCCAAAAGTATTGAAAAAAAAAATTTTAACACATGAAATATTAATTTTAATACACACAAACTGAAGAAGACATGCACAGTTACATGACACTTACCTTTATTGAAGATCTGGTGATGATTGATGGGATGGGAAGAGGGGAGTGTGTTGATGGTCTTAGTGTTTAGAAGGGGAATCCCCTTCCATTAGGACTTGAGGTGGCAAGTCCTTTTTCGGGGTTACTTCCCTTCTTCTTTTAATGCCACTAGGACCAGCTTGAGAGTCACTGGACCTCTGTCGCACAACATATCTGCCCATAGAGGCCTGTACCTCCCGTTCCTTTATGACATTCCTAAAGTGTTTCACAACATTGTCAGTGTCACCATTAAACACTTGTTCAGATTTCAGTCCTTCACTGTCTATGTACTCCTTGAATTCCTGCACATATTTTTCAGCTGCTTTTTGGTCCAAACTGGCAGCCTCACCATGCCTTATCACACTATGTATGCCACTATGATTCTTAAATCTCTCAAACCAACCTTTGCTGGCCTTAAATTCACTCGCATCACCACTAGTTGCTGGCATTTTTCTAATTAAACCGTCATGCAACTTCCTAGCCTTTTCACATATGATCGCTTGAGAGATGCTATCTCCTGCTATCTGTTTTTCGTTTATCCATACCAATAACAGTCTCTCAACATCTTCTATCACTTGCGATCTCAGTTTCGAAAACATAGTTGCACCTTTGGCAAGAACAGCTTCCTTGATTGCCGTTTTCTTGGCCACAATAGTAGCGATGGTTGATTGGGGTTTTGTGTACAGCCTGGCCAGCTCAGAGACATGCACTCCACTTTCATACTTAGCAATGATCTCTTTCTTCATATCCATAGTAATTCTCACCCTTTTTGCTGTAGGGTTGGCACTAGAAGCTTTCTTGGGGCCCATGGTGACTTATTTTGCAGGTGCAATCACTAAGGAGGCCTGGTCACAGACCGGGCCGTGGGGGCGTTGACCCCCAGAACTCTCTCCAGGTAAACTCCAGGTAAACTAAAAAGGCTGTGATAATATGAAATGTTCTGATTGTATGCTTGGAAGCGACCACGGTGGCTGGCTGGCTTGTAAACACTGGCCAGAAGTGGACGCGTCTCAGATGGAACGAATAGTGTTGGTCGAGTTTTTTAGCGCTAATCGAGGCAAAATTTTTGCGATAAAATGTATCGCTAGTCAGATTTATCGTTAATCGATGCCATCGCTGGTCGAAGGTCCACTGTATGTGAGTGGGTGTGGGTGGATGTGAGTTTGACCTGACCAACTTGTGCTACTAGGTCAGATGCCATGCTCCTTCCTTAAGTGAATGTGACCTGACCTGACTAGGTTAAGGCACTGGCTTAAGCCTGTAGGAGAACTGGACCTGCCTCGCATGGGCCAGTAGGCCTACTGCAGTGTTCCTTCTTTCTTATGTTAAATACATTTATTCAGCAGACTGTAATAATATACAAAGACCCTAATAGAAATAAGTCACTTCGTCTGACTTTTAGGGTACTCCAGGTAATATATGATAATTGTACCTAAGCATACCTGTACCTAAATAAACTTACAATTCTGTTTAAAGAGTACCTTCATTAACAAAGTTGGAGGGACCTTTTAAAATTATTTCAGCGACCAAATACATGTACATATTGTACTTTGAGTGAAACTGCCTACCTCTGATAAATATGAAGACAAAGACACATTGGAAAGTAAAATATTACCCAATAAAAATTTCTTCTGCAACTTGTGTTTGTCTCCATACTGTATTTAGTATTTTTTTCCAAAATTACATTTATTCTGGCTTTAATTTTTTTTTCCAAAATTACATTTAGTAGTCTTAAAAATAAGAGAATCACATAACAGCAGAATGCAGACCATACAGACAATGCATCATTTATATATGAACTTTTGACTATTATTATCATCATTATTATTACCGCTGCAATACAATTAATATCACTCAGCAACAAGCACTAAACCCAAATGGGTCAAACAGCATAATCTTCTTTGAACATAAAAACTCTTTTACTTTTTGGGGGGCTATGCTAGGTAATTTACACTATGTATAATTGTATTCATATGTACCTGTGCCTAAATAAACTTACTACTTACTCTCTACTAAACTCAAAATACAAATTTCAAGATACAGCGTAAGACTGCCATAATTCTCCACCACCTTCAACTCACTCCACTTGGAATAATTACACCTCTACACTGTTTCTTGCTGATATATTCAGTGGTAAAAGAGTAACATTTAATATATGTCCTGCAATATCAAGATAATTTACCACAATATTCACTGGCCGGGAACGTCAAAGCTTTTGTTTACTTCATCAGCTGATCACCTGGGTTAAATTATCTTATAGAATTAATGTTAATTTAAGTAGGAGCTTCCCAAGATAAGCTAAAATAATATAAGATATAATTATGTTAGTGGTTATTTAGGTTGGATTAATATATAGGTTACTTGTGGTGTGTTTGCACGTGAGGATACATGACGTCACAGTGTGAGCGTCCGCCATACTGCCGGTCACTTGTGCTAGTTTATTCAGGTGTAGGTACATATAAATACAGTTACATAAAAAAACAGTAATGGTTCTACATGACCATAATTTTTAAAGGGGTGGGTCGGTAAGCCAGTGGAAAGCCTCGGTTAGATGACCAAAAGCTCCAAAGGCGGGTCATCATCTGACTAAGACCCGCGGCAGGAAAAATTTCTCCTGTTTCCTGACGAACCTTACCTAACCTAACCTAGTTACATAAATTATCATACATAACATATGTGTAAATTTTTATTTTTTTCTTCTTCCTCTTTTTTCTTCTTCAACGTAAGCGAAATTTGTTTCATCCTACTTCAAAGTCAATGACCTCCAGTAGAGTAACTTTATTGAGACTTTTCGACTGGAGATAGGCTTTTTCAGTCATTACACAGGAATATACAACAAAGTTACATAAGCACAGCCATGTGAGTGATCAAATTACTGAGGTCACTGAGATGTGTAGCAAGATATGAGTACTGCAGGAGCCGTACTGATTCATCCCATGACCTGTGTAAGCTGAGTTGTGCTACAGATTTGGTTAAATTGAAAGCTCCTGATTCAGTTGGTTATGTTTGGATTAGATCAGCTTCCAGGCATCTGTGTCGTGTTTACCTAGAGTTCACATGGAGAGAGTTCCAGGGGTCAACCCCCCCGCGGCCCGGTCTGTGACCAGGCCTCATGGTGGATCAGAGCCTGGACCAATAGTCTCATTGTGCCTATCCCTAAGCCCCAACAGCCTGATACATTTAGGCCGATCTCCTTAACTAGTTGTCTTTGTAAAATTTTTGAAAGAATGATGCTTAACAGACTGTACTACAGAATCAGACACCAACTTTCCCCCTACTTCTATGGGTTCATGAAAGGTAAAAGTGTGCAGAACTGCATTTCCACCTTTCTCACTGCACACACCTCTACTAGTTTTACCACTTTTCTTGATCTAAAATCTGCATTTGATATTGCGAACAAAACCGTTATACTACATGAACTAGCCAAAATGAATATTGGTGGTAGCTTACTCTGCTGGATAATAGGATACCTGTCAAATAGAGTATCCTCTGTCCTTTACCAAGGCTTCAGAAGTGAGTCTAAAGAAATGTCTTTAGGTACACCATGCTATTTAATATTCTGATTAATGCTCTCCTAAATGCTCTACCTGCCTCACCTAAACATATAGCTATAAGCTATGCTGATGATATCCACACAACAGGGCATAAGAAGATGAGTACCATTCTTAATGAACTTCAAGCAATTTGTAATCGACTAGGCCTCATAATATCTTCCTCTAAAACAAAGATATTAACAAGCAAATGACATCCCCCACCCATCTATTTGCAGGGTGAAATCATTAGCTACGTTAAAACTTACAGATATCTTGGTGTAGATATACCCTTTAACAAATCCACTATACCACAACTAAATAAGAAATGCAAAAGCTAGGCTAAATCCTCTCAAAGCTGTTGTGGGTACAACCCCAAACTATGGTGCTAAAAGTGAGAATCGTGAGAATGATGTTTCATAGCCTATGTTAGGTCCTTTTAAATTTATTATGCTGCTCCCATGTTGATATTAGCTAGAGAAAGTTCTCTACGACCCTTGAGTTAATGCAAAATGAAGCTCTAGGATTATTTTGGCTGTCCCAGATTACAAAAGTTTTTAACATGAGGAAGGAGCTTGGTATTTCTAGTATCAGTGATAGGATTGTTGAGATTTAACACTGTATCGGTATTAGAAATGTTGAGAAAAAGAACCAGACACTGTCACAATGAATCTTACCAAGTGTCTAGAGGTAAATACACACAGATCTAAATGGATTGTGAAAACGTGCAATTGCATTAAGTTTTATAACCTGCATGAACTGTATCACTGTAGGCAACAAGAGCATTTCACCCCTCCGTGGAGGTTGTGTTCATTTAATATCGCATACCTGCAAGTCCCTCCCAAGAAGCTCATTGCTAGTAATCCCTTCCTTAAATCACTTGTTAGAGCAACTGCTCAAGAAGAAATTTCTCACCTAGCTGGTAGTAATAAGTTATCACAAGTTATATACACTGATGGATCTAAACAGGAGTCTTCTGGCAGGGCTGCATCTGCTCTTGTTGCCACCTCCCTAGTTAAGAACGATAATAAATTTGTTGAGTTAGGTATACGAATTAACAACTGGGCGTCTACACTGCAAACTGAATTGTTTGCAATCATAATGGCGCTAAAGCTAACCTATGACACTGAGCTTGACTCTATCATCATTACTGATTCTATGTCATCATTGAAGGCTCTTGACTCATATAATGACTCCAACAACATGCTCATTGGAGAAGCCAGGTATAGATAATCAAAACTTAGGGACAAAGGAATTAATGTACAATTGCTATGGATCCCATCACACATTGGATTACTCCTTCATGATAAAGTTGGCATGTTAGCCAAGAAGAGTACCCAGAAGGAAAATGTAGAATATAACTTTGATATAACTGTGTCTAGCATTAGGAATAATATTAGGAGAGAAGTAAATAATGAAAATGATTGTTATAGGAATGCAGTTAGAAGCCTGAGTAGATCTATAACCCACTATGATAACATGAACGTAGATAAGCATGTTTATGGAACAACGTGCAATGTGAACAGACTGACTGATGTTGTAGTGGCCAGGCTTAGGCTTGGTTACAAGTACTTCTGGCAGTTTGGGAGACACACAGATGATGATCAAACTAAATGTAAATTATGTGATCAGGCATATGGTCACTGTCTTGAACCTATGTGACATGTCAAGATATCTTATTAATAAAAATAAGATACCAGATATACTAAGCAAATTTCCTAAATTTGCTTGTAACAGATAAGTGAAATATAGATATGTAGATATAAATCCATATGTATTCCTGATAACCCTTTGGGGCCTTTGCTATTATGTTCGATCCGTATATAGGATAGTCACTGATGTTAGTAGATGTTCTTTATTTGTTCGTCGCCCCTGTTTACTCTGTCCCTTTTCTCTCTGCCTACATTCGCTCGTCTTCTCTTCGGTTACCACCTCTCTATGTTCATGTAGCGTCTCACTTTTCCCTGTCCCTTTGGGAAGTTCCAGATGTTCGTGTCTGTTCTTTCCCACTGCCATGCACAAAAGCCCAACTACCTACAGTGGTTTCCCGCTCTCTTTTTCTTGACCACTTCCACTCTCATTCTCATGCCATCATTGTGTACACCGATGGTTCTAAGTCTTGTGATGGCGTTGGATTCACAGCAGTGTTCCCAGACAGTGTCGTGCGAGGGCATTTATTACCCTTTGCTAGCATTTTTATGGCTGAATTGTATGCCATTCTAGTAGCACTTATCCGTATAGCATCTATGCCTGTGTCACCATTTGTGGTTGTTTCAGACTCCCTTAGTGCATTACAGGCTATAAAAAAAATTTGGTACACATCACCCCCTAGTTCTTCGTATCCAACTTTGGTTATGCTGTATCTCTAGCAAACACAAAGATATTGTTTTTTGCTGGGTCCCTGGTCATGTTGATGTACAGGACAATGAACAGGCAGACACTGCTGTGTGGTCAGCAGTACATGACCTCCAGTTTCGTATAGAGGTGTTCCATTCATGGACTATTTTGCCGTAATTGCTACCCATCTTTGCACCCATTGGCAACAACGTTGGTCTGATCTGCTCCATAACAAACTTCATTCTGTTAAACCAAATGTAGGTTTCTGGCCATCTTCTTGTCATCAGTGTTGAGGTTGGGAGACTACTCTCTCCCGTCTTTGCATCGGCCACACTAGTCTTACTCGTGGGTATCTCATGGAGAGGCGTCCTGTTCCTCTCTGTGAGAATTGTCAAGTTCCAGTATCTGTTAGCCATATTCTGTTGGATTGTCCACTCTATCAACGAGCACGCAGAATGCAGAATTTACCTCCATCGTTGTCTCCGCTCTGCTGCCCTCTCTTTATCTTCCCTTCTTGCTGATGGACCCTCCTTTAAACCGGACTCTCTCATTGACTTTTTGACAGCAACTGATTTACTACACAAACTCTGATGATGATGTCTCCAGCACTCTCCTCAGTCCTTTCCACCTTAATCTAGCTACCCTCTACCCCTGCACTATTCACTCCCCTGCTGCACTATATATCCTAATAATCATCCCTCTCTCTCTTGTTACCCATTACCCGATGCATCCTTTCCTGCTGCGCTGTATAACGCTTGTGGTTTAGCTCTCCTTTATGATAATGATAATTCCCCAGCTGTGGAAATCTGCCAGTTCTTCCTTTCCATAAACTGGGTACTATGGGACATGATGCCTCCTAATGTCGTCCCATAGCTCTTACCAGTGCAGTTTGCAAGGTGATGGAACGTTTGGTAAATCAACGTTTGATGTGGTATTTAGAGACGTACAACAATCTCTCCTCTAGTCAATATGGCTTTCATAAGGACCGTTCTACCATTGATCCCTTACTACGCTTAGATACACATGTCCATAATGCCTTTGCCAATAACTACTCGGTTATCGCCATCTTTTTTTGATCTTGAGAATGCATATGACACTACTTGGAGGTATAATATCTTTGCCCAGGCCTCCGAGGGAATCTCCCATTTTTCCTTACGAACTGTTTTACTGAAAGACATTTCCGTGTTCAAGTTAATAATATGCTTTCCCCAGACTGTTCAAGCTGAAGGTGTCCCCCAGGGGTGTGTTCTGAGCACAATTTTTCTCCTTGCTATAA